CCTACATTGAGACCAGTCCCCACTTAAAATGTACTGTCTCAGGCTAGCAATTTCTGGGTCACTATCAGAAACCAATTCGACTTGTCTCGCTGTCAGGGCAACAGGTAAGCTTTCCTCAGCGATTGCCTTGACAAAGTCAAATTCCTTCCCACTTGTGTCTTTAGGGTTACATTGACTGAGTCTTGAGTCTTGAGTCTGCGATATTCGCTTTTCCAGGCCTATAAACAACTCTGTAGTCATACCCCTGCAACCTCAGAACCCAACGTTCGATACAGGCTGATGGTTTTGAAAGCCTGCCAAAAATACACTCGAGTGGCTTGTGATCAGTTTCAAGTTCAAATTTGCGCCCTTACACATAAATGTTGAACCTCTCACAAGCCCATACTAGGGCAAGGGCCTCTTTCTCGGTCTGGCTGTATCTCCGCTCCACTTCAGTGAGGTTTCTGGACACGTACGAGATTGCACGCCACTCGCCGTCTTGAAGTTGAGTCAGCACTGCACCTAAATCCTGTGGACCTGCATCGGCAATAATACCCGTGTTACAGTCTGCTCTGAAATATGCAAGCGTAGTGGCCTGTGCAACTAGCTGTTTCAACTTCTGGAATGACCTTTCCTGTGCTTCACCCCAGATGAAAGGCTCATTCTTCCTCAGGAGGCTCCTGAGTGGTTCCGCTTCTTGTGCGAAGTTGGGAAGAAACTTTGCAGAATATTGTACGAGCTGAACAAATGATCTGACCTGTGAAGCATCTTGTGGAGGGCTTGCACTCAAGATGGCAGTTACTTTCTCTTCACTGGGCGCAACACCTTGCCTGCTCAGATCATGACCGAAGAATGTAAGCTTTGGAAGACGAAACTGGCATTTGTCCCCATTCAAGGTTAGTCCTTTCTCTTTCAATCGGGTCAGTACAGCATGCAAATTCCTGTCGTGTTCCTTTATGCCACAACCATGCACAATCAAATCATCTGTCAAATTAGCCACTCCCTCGCAACCATTCAAAACATCCGCCATGCATGTTACCCCGAACATCAAACGTTTGTACCTGTACAAACCACGGTGTGTAACAAACGTCGTGAACTCGCGAGATTTTTCATCCAATTCCACCTAGTGGAAGCCCCACTTGAGATCGAGCTTTGAGAAGACAGATGAGCGATTAAGGTCGTACAAGACTTCCTCAATTGTAGGGATGGGGTGTCTTTCCCTCTCTATTGCTGAATTCGCCCTGCGCATGTCCACGCAAATCCGAACGTCACCATCTGTCTTCGGGACAACAACCAACGGCGGCACCCAATCAGTTGGGTTGTGTGACACCTCCTCGATGATGTCTTTGGCTAACAGCTCATCCAACTTCTCGTCAACATTGGCTCTTAACCCAAATAGCAGTCTCCGTACGGGTTGTGCAACCGGCGTGACATCGTCCTTTATATGTAATTTTAGCTGAAAATCCTTCAGCTTCCCAACCCCTGTAAAAACCTCTCTATGCTTCTCACGGATGTCGGCATCATTTCCTTCAACAGTTAGTGAACACACATCCGGACCAACCCTTAACACGCCCAACTTCTCTGCAGGGTTCTTTCCGAGTAGAGATCTTCCTAGACCTTTAACCACTGTGAATTAGTCCACACAACTGTTGCCACTGATCTCGCACATAATCTCAGACACAAACGTCCCAATCAACTCAATAGGATCTTTCTGTCCATAAGCAAACAACTTTTTGCTTGATTTCTTGGACTCACACTGGACACTCTTCTTCTTCAAAACTTCGCAGGTTGCTTGGTCAATCACATTGCACGACGCTCCAGAATCAATGAGTACCGCTGGTAGCGTCACTCCTCCACACTTCAAGTCAACTTCACTACCACTTGTAGGCTGACCGACTCCAACTGCAAATGCATGATAATCTTGTTGGCCAGTGGCTGAATCCTCTGATAGTTGATAGGCTCTACCCCCTGTATTATTCCTTCCCTCGTCATCTCTTGTAAGAGGTTTGCGTCCCTTTGTTTTGCAACAGACTGCAAAATGTCCAATCTCGTCGCATGCATCACATTTCTTGCTACGGGCAGGACAATTCGGGTCAATTGCCATATGGTCAGTGTAATTACAGCGAAAACAGCCTCTCACTTTTGTCTCCTGAGAACCACCAGACGGTTTACTAGGCTTATTTCCTCTGTTTCTGCCCTACGCTGTCCCTTTTCCTCTTCCTTTGCTGTGAGGTTTGCCGGAAACAGCATTAACCTGAACGGATGACTGATCCATAGCCTTGACCTGCATGTTCACTGCTTCCTGCACACGAGCCAAATCTTGTAAATCCTTCAGAGTAGCATTTGTTTTCTCAAGGAACTTACGGCGAAGTCTGGGGTCCCTGCATCTCTTGTTCCGCCTGTATTCCACACCCTCCTTTGACCTAACAGTCACCTCACTGCCTTCCTTAGTCTGCACTGTGTATGGCTCACTCTCGAAATTTGCTTCTAGTTTGCCAGACGTTTCGGTGTTCTTCAGTAAAACCAGATCTCCAGGCACTACAGGGCTTTCGGCTGCACCCCACTTGTTGTCAGCATGTTCCTTGTGGGTGAACTTGTGATTCCAATCGCGATCTCTGACCCCCTCGTCCAACAGGTTACCAGTACGCCTCAACTCTGGAAGTTTGGTTTTCAACTCTCTGCCAAACATAAGGAATGCAGGAGTAACACCAGTGCTTGGTTGCGGTGTGGTTATATATGCTAGCAGAAACTTCTGCAGTTCTTCACGCCAGTTTTTTCCCTTAACGTGAGCAACTTTCAAAGTATTAAGCAGAGTTCTGTTCTGTCTTTCAACATGTCCATTGGCCTGCGGCCAGAGCGGTGGGGAAGTCAAGTGTTCGATTCCGTGATCAGAGAGAAACTTCTCAAACTCCGCACACCAAAACTGAGGACCATTGTCAGACGTGAGTGTAAATGGAAATCCATATCTGGAGAATATCTGTGTCAGTAGATCCACCACTCTCTTAGCTGCTGTTGAGCACATGATCGCTACCTCATAGAATCTACTGTAATAGTCTACGACTACGAGCAAACTTTCTCCTGTGGGAAGGGGGCCCATCAGGTCTATGGCTATGTCTTACAAGGGACAAGTAGGCGGCTTCACTCTCTTCAGGGGCTCAGGAACCTGGAACTCACCTACGACTTGGCAGCCATGACAAGAGTTACACACCTGCTCTGCGTCTGAGTCAATCTTTGGCCACCAAACCTTTGTCCTTAAACGTGCCTTCATTTTTACGATACCCTGGTGTCCCTTGTGGGCAAGACGCAAGATTTCTCCCCGTAAAGCCTTCGGAACAACAATTCTCGTGCCGCGCAAAAAAAGTTTGCCTAACACACACAATTCATCCTTGACACACACATAAGCTGTCATCCTACATTGAGACCAGTCCCCACTTAAAATGTACTGTCTCAGGCTAGCAATTTCTGGGTCACTATCAGAAACCAATTCGACTTGTCTCGCTGTCAGGGCAACAGGTAAGCTTTCCTCAGCGATTGCCTTGACAAAGTCAAATTCCTTCCCACTTGTGTCTTTAGGGTTACATTGACTGAGTCTTGAGTCTTGAGTCTGCGATATTCGCTTTTCCAGGCCTATAAACAACTCTGTAGTCATACCCCTGCAACCTCAGAACCCAACGTTCGATACAGGCTGATGGTTTTGAAAGCCTGCCAAAAATACACTCGAGTGGCTTGTGATCAGTTTCAAGTTCAAATTTGCGCCCTTACACATAAATGTTGAACCTCTCACAAGCCCATACTAGGGCAAGGGCCTCTTTCTCGGTCTGGCTGTATCTCCGCTCCACTTCAGTGAGGTTTCTGGACACGTACGAGATTGCACGCCACTCGCCGTCTTGAAGTTGAGTCAGCACTGCACCTAAATCCTGTGGACCTGCATCGGCAATAATACCCGTGTTACAGTCTGCTCTGAAATATGCAAGCGTAGTGGCCTGTGCAACTAGCTGTTTCAACTTCTGGAATGACCTTTCCTGTGCTTCACCCCAGATGAAAGGCTCATTCTTCCTCAGGAGGCTCCTGAGTGGTTCCGCTTCTTGTGCGAAGTTGGGAAGAAACTTTGCAGAATATTGTACGAGCTGAACAAATGATCTGACCTGTGAAGCATCTTGTGGAGGGCTTGCACTCAAGATGGCAGTTACTTTCTCTTCACTGGGCGCAACACCTTGCCTGCTCAGATCATGACCGAAGAATGTAAGCTTTGGAAGACGAAACTGGCATTTGTCCCCATTCAAGGTTAGTCCTTTCTCTTTCAATCGGGTCAGTACAGCATGCAAATTCCTGTCGTGTTCCTTTATGCCACAACCATGCACAATCAAATCATCTGTCAAATTAGCCACTCCCTCGCAACCATTCAAAACATCCGCCATGCATGTTACCCCGAACATCAAACGTTTGTACCTGTACAAACCACGGTGTGTAACAAACGTCGTGAACTCGCGAGATTTTTCATCCAATTCCACCTAGTGGAAGCCCCACTTGAGATCGAGCTTTGAGAAGACAGATGAGCGATTAAGGTCGTACAAGACTTCCTCAATTGTAGGGATGGGGTGTCTTTCCCTCTCTATTGCTGAATTCGCCCTGCGCATGTCCACGCAAATCCGAACGTCACCATCTGTCTTCGGGACAACAACCAACGGCGGCACCCAATCAGTTGGGTTGTGTGACACCTCCTCGATGATGTCTTTGGCTAACAGCTCATCCAACTTCTCGTCAACATTGGCTCTTAACCCAAATAGCAGTCTCCGTACGGGTTGTGCAACCGGCGTGACATCGTCCTTTATATGTAATTTTAGCTGAAAATCCTTCAGCTTCCCAACCCCTGTAAAAACCTCTCTATGCTTCTCACGGATGTCGGCATCATTTCCTTCAACAGTTAGTGAACACACATCCGGACCAACCCTTAACACGCCCAACTTCTCTGCAGGGTTCTTTCCGAGTAGAGATCTTCCTAGACCTTTAACCACTGTGAATTAGTCCACACAACTGTTGCCACTGATCTCGCACATAATCTCAGACACAAACGTCCCAATCAACTCAATAGGATCTTTCTGTCCATAAGCAAACAACTTTTTGCTTGATTTCTTGGACTCACACTGGACACTCTTCTTCTTCAAAACTTCGCAGGTTGCTTGGTCAATCACATTGCACGACGCTCCAGAATCAATGAGTACCGCTGGTAGCGTCACTCCTCCACACTTCAAGTCAACTTCACTACCACTTGTAGGCTGACCGACTCCAACTGCAAATGCATGATAATCTTGTTGGCCAGTGGCTGAATCCTCTGATAGTTGATAGGCTCTACCCCCTGTATTATTCCTTCCCTCGTCATCTCTTGTAAGAGGTTTGCGTCCCTTTGTTTTGCAACAGACTGCAAAATGTCCAATCTCGTCGCATGCATCACATTTCTTGCTACGGGCAGGACAATTCGGGTCAATTGCCATATGGTCAGTGTAATTACAGCGAAAACAGCCTCTCACTTTTGTCTCCTGAGAACCACCAGACGGTTTACTAGGCTTATTTCCTCTGTTTCTGCCCTACGCTGTCCCTTTTCCTCTTCCTTTGCTGTGAGGTTTGCCGGAAACAGCATTAACCTGAACGGATGACTGATCCATAGCCTTGACCTGCATGTTCACTGCTTCCTGCACACGAGCCAAATCTTGTAAATCCTTCAGAGTAGCATTTGTTTTCTCAAGGAACTTACGGCGAAGTCTGGGGTCCCTGCATCTCTCAATAAGCTGATCCCTTATTGCCTCATCAACATTTTCAAACTCGCAGAAGATCGCTTTCTGCCTCAACCGACAAACAAACTGATCCACCGACTCTCCTGACGCTTGCTCCATTTGCCTAAACTGATGCCTTTCGAATGGAACGTTCACCTGCGGTGCAAAATAGTTATCCAACAACTCCATACTCTCAGCGAGCGGCTTGATATCCGTACCGGTCAATAACGTGTAATAAAGCTCCTGAAAATTCAACCCTCCAGTATGCAACAGCAATGCGGTTTTCTGTTCATCTTTCGAAATCCCTTTTGCCACCAAATACAGATTGAGCCAGAGTTTCCACAACTTCCAGCGAACTGCAAGGGTGTTCGGATCTTCCTTTGGATTGAAGGGAGGAAGGCTGGCCACATCAAGAAGAGGAACAAACGTCTCGGTTGGCGAAGCTTGTGAACTTGAAGTTGTACTCGAAGTGGTTCCACTGTCGTCCGTCATCTTCCTGACAAAATACTAGGACTTTCCGCACAAATGACTTCCAAAACATCCACTACCTCACAAAACGAATTGAATCCTCGTCGCCAATGTAACAATGACGCCTGGATGGCCGTGTAATAAACCAGATTTAACTATAAAAGGAAGTACACTTTATTCGGCCGCCATGACACCCGGAAAGCATGGCCCACACAAATACCCATGATCGTTTGCACGTTTACAGTATCCGAGAACTTCCGTTAACACAACTTCCGGTAGACAATACTATCGATACATTACAAGCGTTGCGTTTTTTTCTCGAGAAAGTTATTTTATAAAAGCAATGGAAAGCTTATTTCCTGTGTTTGCATAGCCTGATATAAACACTCGAGGCGTTGGGAGAATTCTCAACAGTTATACAAACCCGAGACGAATCGTCTCGGGTTTGAATAACTGTCTCGAATTCTCCCAACCCCTCTCGTGTTTATATGGAACTATGCAAACAGAAAACGTTTTCTGTTGCTTAAATATAGCTGTACATAGACATACAGAGCCATAAATACGCCATTGTCTTGATTTTCAAAGCTGGCGCTTTTTGCTAATAGTGGGCGGTAACATATAGCCTAGTAGTAACGCAACCAATCAGAACGCAGCATTGATAAAAGACCACTAGTTGCATTTTACAAATAGTCCTATAATCCCTTCACAACCCTACATAACCATACATAGCTCTACATAGCGTTACATAGCTCTACACAATCCTACATATCCCCACACAACCCTGCATAGCTATACAAAGCCCTAAAATAGCGCTACATAGCCGTACAGAACTCTACGCAACCCCACATAGCCCTGCATACTCGGACATAGGGCTACATAGTCCTAAATAGCCCTGCGTTATCATAAGAGACTACATTACGAGGCTTGAACACCAAGAACACCAAATTTAGAAAAAATTACCAGAAACCCTCAGATTCAAGTAAGAATTAAAATATTTTATTGGGATCATTAACTCTGACAAGTACCTTACAACTCGTTTTTGACCTTGGTTTTTTTTCCTTTTTTTATCTAATAGTTGACCCAACCCATTTTCGGATAAATTAGAAGTGAAATGGTAAAAGCTACTCTTGACACTTTGATGCCTGTATATGAAAAATTATTAAATTCCTTCCCTAGGTACCATGCCTCAGACCTAATGTGGTGGTCTTATTACTCCCATCTATAATTCGAGCGGGAGTAATAACACGGCAAATTTCCGAGGTATATCTGTCTCCAGCTACCTGCGTTCGATATCTTAAACCAACGACTCCTCAAAAATCTCATGTCTTAAAATACGCGTAACAATTGAATCTCAAGTCGCCTTTGCTTTTTTTTACCAAATAACCGCACAGCAGAACACGTCTTTCCTTTACGTTCATAATCACAAGGAAAAGATTTATGCATGCTTTGTCTGCACTTCAAAAAACTTTTCACTACGTCACCCATGTAGAGCTCCTGCACATATGTAAGGTAATATAGGGTTATGTAGGGTTATGTAGGGCTATGTAGTGCTATGTAGGGCTATGTAGGGTTAGGTATGGCTATGTAGGGCTGTAGGGTTAGGTATGGCTATGTAGGGCTATGTAGGGCTATGAAGGGTTCTGTACGGCTATGCTAGCTATGTAGGGCCATGTAGGGCTATTTATGGCTATGTATGGCTATGTATGGCTAAGTAGGGCTATGTATGGCTATGTAGGGCTATGTAGGGCTATCTATGGTTATATATGGCTATGTATGGCTATGTATGGCTATGTAGGGATGTGTAGGGCTATGTAGGGCTATGTAGGGCTATGCATGGCTATATAGGGTTATGTATGGCTATGTAGGGCCGTGTAGGGCTATGTAGGGCCGTGTAGGGCTTTGTAGGGCTGTATAGGGCTATGTATGGCTATGTATAGCTATGTAGGGCTATGTATGGCTATGTTGGGCTAAGTAGGGCTATGTATGGCTATGTATCGCTATCTAGGGCTATGTATGGCTATGTAGGGCTAAGTAGGGCTAAGTAGGGCTATGTATGGCTATGTAGGGCTATGCAGGGCTATGTTTGGTTATCTATGGCTATGTATGGCTATGTATGGTTATGTAGGGCTGTGTAGGGCTATGTAGGACTATGTAGGGCTACGTAGCGCTGTGTAGGGCTATGTATAGCTATGTATGGCTATGTAGGGCTGTATGGCTGTGTATGGCTATGTATGGCTATGTAGGTCTATGTAGGGCTATGTATGGCTGTGTATGGCTATGTATGGCTATATAGGTCTATGTAGGGCTATGTATGACTGTGTATGGCTATGTAGGGCTAGGTATGGCTATGTAGGGCTGTGTATGGCTATGTATGGCTTTGTAGGGCTATGTAGGGCTATGTATGGCTGCGTAGAGCTATGTAGGGCTATGTAGGGCTGTCAATGGTTATGTATGGCTATGTATGGCTATGTAGGGCTGTGTAGGACTATATAGGGCTATGTATGGCTATATAGGGCTATGTATGGCTATTTATTATATATGTACTGAGATTTACCCATTGAAAAGGCGCGAAATAAATTTGGTTCACAAGCTGGTCTAAGAACCCGACAACCAATCAAATGGTGCGTATTGCTTTTTCCACGTGTGAGGAAAACGATACGTCCAATCAGGTGCTGCGTATCATGTTTTTTGACGTGTGAGCCGTAACAAGGTGATTTTCATTCAGCTGGCAGCATTTCACTTTGTTAAAGAAATCTTTCGCAAGTGTTGAAGCTTAAAAACATGAACGAGAAAAGGTTCGTTGATCACGATACTTCAGTCGAGGATTACGTGGAAAGTCTCGAAAACAGGAATACGAAAGAGAAAACGAAACGAGATGTGAAATTGCTG